AGCACCTCCATCGTTGATGTTGTGTGTACTGGATCATTGGTGTTATCGTACTGGGGGTTGTCATCTTTAAGTCAAAGGTCCGCTACAAAATCTGGCATTTTGATAGACATTAATCAATTTTAATGAATATTAATGAATATTAGCATCCAATTTATTTTGGCTATGGACATTCAAAAAAAAAAAAAAAAAGTATTAAAGTAGATATTAAATTTTTGTAATTATATCCAAATATAAAGTGCTAAGCAGTAAAAATCGTGATTAGAAATTTCTTTAGCGTAAAGACCTCAATAATGATTGATGTCGCAAAAGAATCGTCGCTTTGTGAATGGGCAAATGATTTTAAAGAATAAAACAAATCTCCTGTTCAATCGCGGAATTGGTTGAATTTTCAATAACCTCTTCGGCACGCAAACGGAGAATATCAAAAAAATTTCATTTTTCCAAAAATCTGTCCATGGTGAAGAATATGCACGCGATCTTTCGGGGTTCAGACCTCGTCGATGCGTATATGTTACTCGATTGTCACCGCTGAGTGTACATTTTTGGGACATCTTACTGTCTATAACTGTCCACTTCAAATTTTTCGGGTAGTCAATGACAGAACGACCTAACGCCAAAAACATTCTCGAACTACGCTCAAATTCTTTGATAAATTTATTGAATAATTGAAATTACGTTGCATTAAGAGATATATAAAATTTATAACGAAATTTCATTTAATTTCAGACGCAAACTCAAAATTTAATTGCTTAGAATAGGGCTTTTGGTGTGAAAAGATCAAGGAATTTCTGAATTCTCAACAGTTAATTAGTAGCGGTTACATCTTATGAATAAAAGATTAAATTATATGAATATTGTAATACATTCTAAAAAACTAAATCATATTATTTTGATTGCCTTTGCATTGTCCTCAATTGTTCAACAACCATTCGCATGTCTCCATCAATAGTTTCATTTCCTTTTCCTTTACAAAATTCTCGATGCGCGCAATCAATTTTACGAGCTCCTCTGTCCTAGACGTAAGCTGATACTCTCCACCACAATTGCATTCTCGAGACATATGTCCCAGCTTGGAACGTTTGCATTTAGAACATTGAAGGTCCTGCCCGTGGAATTTTTCGACTTGATCGTTGACATATTCTAAAAGTGC